GGGGCGGGCTGGCATGTGGTGCTGGGGGTTTGAACCGAGGTCCCTGTGCTCTGCTAAGCTTGTTCTCAGTAGGTGCTTTAGACCACTGAGCCATCTCACCAGCTCCAATCCTCACAATTTTAGATTTTTACAGTGAGAGACATTCTAAATCTGACCTGCTTGAAACTTATTTATAAAATCAAATCAAATTTTTTTTTTATCCAAAGGAATTTCCAAGAGGTTTGTTTTTTTTTCTTTTATGGAGCTAAAATATGTATAACATACAATTAATCAGTTTAAAGCATACAGTTTGGTGGTATTTAGTATACTCGCTTATTGTGCAACCATCACCTCAACTTCCATACCCATTTAGTAACCACTCCCTGTCCCCTCTCCTCCCGTTCTCCATTCACCTCTGATCTGCTGTCTGCTTCAGTGGACTTGCCTGGTCTGTGGATAGCATAAGAAAGAATCATGCCACCTGTGGCCTGCAGTGGTGGGCATCTTTCACTTAGAATGTTTTCAGCACTCAAGCAAGCTGTGGCATGTTTCGGTACTTTCTTTTTCTAATAATAGGGTGTAATATTATTTCTAGTAATAATGTGTAATTTCAGCTCTTTCCACCTTTCAGCTGTTAATGAACGATGATGTAAACATTCAAGTACAAGGTTTTATTGAGCCATGTTTTCATTTCTCTTCAGTGAATACCTAGGAGTATTGCTGGGTCACACGGTAGTTATACGGCTTGGCTGATTCTAGGTTTTTGAGGAGCAGCCTGACTCTTGCACAGTGGCTGCCCATCTTGCATTCCCAACAACAAGGCATAAAGCTTTCTGTCTCTTTACATCTTCCTCCACATTTGTTCTGTGGGGTTTGCATTGTAGCCATCTAGTGGAGCACGAACTGGGATGTCATGGTGGGTTTTTTTGGGTTTTTTTTCATGGTGGTTTTTTATTGCATTAGTGAAATGATTAGTGCTGTGGAGCCGTTTTTCATGTGCTAACTGTCCATTTGTATGTCTTTGTTGAAGGCCTTTGTCCTTTTTTTTTTTTGGTACTGGGAATCAAGCTCAAGACCTTGCACTTGCCAGGCAGGCATTGTGCCGCTGAGCTATATCCCTGGCCCCTCCATCATTATTATCATTATCATTATTATTATCATTATCATTATTATTATTTAACCAGGTTGCCTTTGTGTTGCTAACTTAAAAGAATTCTTTCTGTATTCTGGATAGCAACCCTTTTTTGGATATATGATTTGCAGATTTTTTTTTTCTTTTCTTCTGTAGAACCTTCTCTCCTTTTTTTCCTCTTTCCCTCACTCCCTTCCGTCCTTCCTTCTGTGGTACTGGAGACTGAACCCAGGGATTTGACATCACTCCAGCCTTGCAGAGACCTGGGATTATAGGCATACACCACTCCCAGCTGGAGCATTCTGATAATATACTTTAATACCAAATTTAAAAAATTATGAAGATAAACTGTATGTATACAATTTTATTTTATTGTGGTATGGGGGATTGAACTCTGGACCATGACTCATGCCAGGCGAGCGCTTATTCTACTGAGCTCTCTCCTCCTCCCTAAAATTGGAGGTTGGTTTTTTTTTTTGTTACTTCCGGGTGCCTTAAGGGCAGATCTGGTGCAGCTTCTGGAGCTGGGAATCCAGGTCCTGCGCCTGACTGCATTTGCCAGGGGGCGCTTTAAACAACTGAGCTATCGGGCAAAGCCCTCCACACACTGTATTGTTTTAGTTGTTGTTATCAGGGTTTTTGTTTTCCTCATGCTTTTAGTCTAAGAATCTAGGACCAAATCTGAAGTTTTGAAAATTTACTTTTATTATTTTTATTATATTTATTAAGAGTTTTATAGGTTTGGTTTTTAGTTCTTTTAAAAATACAAACAAAATAATTTAATGAAGATATTACCAGGTCACAGAGCTGATGCACAGAAAGCGGTGGTGACTGCCCTGTCCCAGCAGCCCAGGCACCCCAGATCCTGCGCACACCCGCCCACGTGCCTGGCCCAGCCCACAAGCCTGCGCTCCCTCCTGTCAGTCTTTGAATCATTCTTCTTTTTCTCTGGGTAGCAGCTGCTGTGCTGGTGCTTGGCTTTTCCTCCGAAGCCAGTTCTTAATGTGCTTCTTTTCATCCTTTTTCTTCTTCCAGATGTCTTCTCTTCTACTACTGGTATTTTTTTCTGTTCTTCTCCTCAATTTTAATTTAATCTTGGCTTCTTTGCTTTCTTTTCAGTCATTTCATCTTTATCCACCTTTCTATTTTGCATTTTTTAGAAGAGGTTGGAAGTGTTGAGTCACAGGAGGGATTGTAAGTCTTCACTTTTGTGTTGTCTTTTTCTGTTTTTACTAACGCCTTTCCTGTTCCATTTATTTTCTTATCCCTCTATCTTCCAAGCTTCCCATTCTGGCCTCCAATTTGGCTCTGTTCTCAACTCCCATCCCTAAGTTTAAACTTAAGTCATTGATCATTTTAAGTTAATTTTTGTGTATGCAGTGAGGTAGGAGTCATTCTTTTGCAGATGGCTCTCTCCTTGCAGGGACAGATTGTTGAAAAGATTGGCCCTTTCCTCTACCATAAAAGTCTTAGCACCCTGTCAAAAAGTAGTGGGCTCTACAGCTGGAGGGTAGCTCAGTGGCAAGCACGGCCTTGAGTTTTTCCTCCATACCACAGAAATGAAAACAAAACAGAAACCAGCCATAGACATTTGAGTTGATTTCTGTACTTTCAGTTCTGTGCCTTTGGTCTCTATTGTCCTTTGGCCACCACCAGTTTTGATCACTGTAGCTTTGTAGAAAGTTTTGAAATTGAGAAGTGTAAGTCCTACAACTTTTTTTTTCTTCTAGTATATTCTGCCTTTGGAGGTTCCCTGCAGATACATACCAAAAAAGCCATGGGGTCCCATTTGGAGTTTTCTGAGGGCAGAGAAAAAGCCTTTGGGATTGTTGTGTTGACTGCCCGCCCTCTCCACGGGGCCAAGTCTCCCCGTGTACAACGGAGGGTGTCTTTCACTCTTTACTCAGTTTCTTTCAGCGGTGTCTTGTGTTTTTGTTCTGCAAATCTTTTCCTCCTTGGCTAAGTGTATCCCTGCGTATTTTTATTCTTTCGGATGGTGTTATAAAAGTAGTTGTTTTCTTTTGGGGGGGGCAGAACTGGGGATTGAACTCAGGCCCTTGTGCTTGCCAGGGAAGTGCTTATTCCATTGAGCCATCTCCCCAGCCCCATGTACTTGTTTTCTTACTATTCTTTTCATATTATTTATTGCTGATGTACAGAAATAGAATTGATCTGTGTGGTCTTAAAGCCTGAAACTTTGCTGAGTTATTCTGTTGAGGTTTTTTAATAGATTCTTTGAGATCTAGAGGATATGAAAAATAGATACAGATATAGATATAGATATAGAAATATAATTCCCATGATAGAAGGACTTTAGCCTTGGTTTTCAGTTTTCTTTTACCTAATTGATTGCCCTGGCCAGAGCTTGGGTACTGTGTTGAGCCAAGGTAGTGAAGGCATCTTTGTCTTGCTTCTGATCTGAGGGGCATCTGTTGGTGTCCGTTCACATTGAGTATGTTATTAGTTGGTTTTTCCATAAATGCCCTCGATCGTCTCAAGGAAGTTCCTGTCTACCATTAGTTTGTTGGGTGGTTTTAGAAAGGGCAGGCACATTTTGAAAAAAATGTAAGAAAATCCTGAGGAAAAAAAATATGCCAGGAGATTTCACGTGGCTCTTCGGTTTCTGCCTGTGTCACCTAACGTGATTACGTTTGTCTAGGTAGTGGACATAATGAGAGTCAACGTGGATAAGGTGTTGGAAAGAGACCAGAAGCTGTCTGAGTTGGACGACCGCGCGGACGCACTGCAAGCCGGAGCTTCTCAATTTGAAACGAGTGCTGCCAAGTTGAAGAGGAAATACTGGTGGAAGAACTGCAAGGTAATGTGCTCTTAGCCCACCTTTATATGAAGTCCTGCGTCCCGTTCTCAGGGGTCAAGGGTACGGACATTGGAGTTCTGTGAGCGAGCTGAGTCTTACACACAGACCGCATTCTTTTCCTGGCCTGGTACTAGGAGTCCCCGTGTTCCATGGCTGATGTGACAAGGTGCACAGAACAGTAAAACGGGCACCTGCACCCACCAGGCAGGGCTGCTTTGTCATTGTGCGGTTCTGCAAGTGGCTCCAGAGCTTCGGGAAAGAAACCTAGGAAGGCATCGTGCTCTGCAGGAGAAGGAAGCCACACACAGGACAGTCGGCAGCAGATTTGTACTGCTAGCAAATGGTCATAGATCCTGCCCCCATCTGGCTCGGCAGTGACACTGAGGCACGCGGGAGACAAGCTTAGCTGCCCTGCCTTGTGTGGAAAATTTGTAGACATGAACAGAGGCCTTGCTGGGGGCGCCAGGTCATTGGCACACACTGCCAAAAGCAGTTAAGTAAACTTGAGGCCCTAATTGAGGCCATTAAGTGTATGTGTTAGAAATGGTGGGTTGTTCCAGACTGTAGCACACCTTGACTTCTGCAATAATATTGTAGGACGTTCCTCAGTAAATGCATCTCGTCTTCATGCTTGTGAAATGGGTGTGGGTTTTCTTACAGATGTGGGCCATAGGGATCAGCGTGCTGGTGATCATCATTGTCATCATCATCGGTGAGTTAATTCCTGTGTGCAGGAATACAGCTAAAGCTCGCCAAATACTAGCGCAAGCCAGGGGTTTTTAAGAATTTGCACTAACAAATCTTTTAAGTACTTGAATTTTGTATGATTAAAGTTCAAATTTTTTTGACGTGAACATCAGTTCTTTCAGATAGGGGAATCTCATTGCTACTGATAGCGCTATTTTTCTCTCTGAATATATCGATGTTGTGTATCTTCTGTTAGGTAGTGTAGTGATTACAAGAACGGGCTACCTGTGATCTGCCAGCTCTGTGCCCTCAGGCACGCCGTTTGAAATCTCCTGACCTCCATTTTCCTCATTTGTCTAATGGGGATAATCTTAGCACCTGCCTTGTTGTGAGGACAGGTCGGGTCAATGCCGAGAAGTACTGAGTGCGAATGCTGTCTAGCATGCACGGGAATAATAAAAATAGTTACAGCAGCAACTGTACGTGACATGTGTAGGATATCCGTACACCCATTACTATGATACATAATATTAGAAGAACTCATTGCCTTTATAGCCCAGCATATGGCCACTCCTTAAAGAAGCATGTCTTCCTTTCATTGCTAGGCCAATGTTAGTGGGTATTGCTCTTTAATGAGAGTTATTTGGATGCTGTGTGTGTGTGTGTGTGTGTGTGTGTGCGTGCGCGCGCATATGTGTGTCTTTTTAAGACAGATCTTGCTATGCAGTTCATGCTGGCCTTGAGCTCACTATGTAGCCCAGGCTGGCCTCAAGCTTGCAGTGATCCTCCTGCCTCAGCCTCCCGAGTGCTGGGATGACAGGGGTGCACCACCTCTACCTGTCCGCAGTGTGTAGAGGCGCCGCTAGCAAAGAAGTGGGTCTGATTGACTGCTGTTCACATTTATATTGAGCGCAGCTTTCCCTCCAGGTATGCACTGAAAGACTAAACCACCCTCTCTCCTGTTTCTGCCCCTCTCTCCCTGCTTCTTAGTGTGGAGCGTTTCTTCTTGAAGAACCAGTGAAACTCAGGCCTTGCTGTTCAGGAAACCTCTTCAAGACCTTGACTTTGAACCTGCTATATTATCAAGCTTGCCTACTGTTGTTTCTAAACTGATTATTTTTGGTAGTTTGTGTAAAGTTCAGTTTGTAGGAAATGTGCCTT